CACATGGATTGCAGAAGTCAGCGTAGCTCATCCGACTGGAGGACTCTTGAGGACGTATTTGTCCTCCAAGCACCTCGGAGACAAGAAAGAGGAGACTGAAGCACTTATCCAGACTCTAGAAGCTGAGAAAAGTCTGTCTCCAATGGATTTTAAAGCCGCGGATGAGAAGTTAATTCACTCATCGAGGAAAAAGTTGGATAAAATCCAGAATCGCCTTGAAAAAACACAAAGGAAAATCGATATTATCAAGGATATTCTGCCGGAATTCAACGACGTAATGGACAAGAAAATGAAGAATAAGCCGAGGAACTCGACTTCGAAGGACATGTTGACAGCCGCTGCGAAAGCTGCTAAGACAGCAGCGATTAACACTCAGCAACGATTTAATTGGGAGGCCTGCGAGTGCGCCTTTGTGGTGTTTAATAATCTGGAATCCAGACGTCGATGTCTTCAAGATTATCGCCACTCCACGCGCTGGATACCGCGCAAGTGGCAGCCTGAAGAGCTGCGTTTCCGCGCGGATTTTCCGCTTATTGTGACCAAAGCTCCCGAACCATCAAACATTCTGTGGGAGAACCTTGAAGTTACCGACCGGGGACGCTTTTATCGACAATTAGTGACGAATTTAGTGACCATAGCGCTTCTGGTGACATCTTGTGCCATTATTTCGGCCGCTAAGACAGCTCAGGAGCAATTTGCGAGCAAAACCCCGCCTGAAGGCCTGTGTGATCGCGCTCTTCCAGCCGTATTTTACGCAGATACTTCGTTCTCTTACAATGCCCAAAAGAAACCCATTATGTGGTCTCTAGCTTGGGATTCGACACAAACTTGTACGCCTGGAATATCCGGAGAAAATCGATACTACATTGCGTATTCGAACGGGATTCTGAATGATTTAGACTCTTCCAAACTGTCCTATGGCACTACCTACCGGAATCCCACGCGTTGTGTGGATCCCTGTATCTCCGATGCTAGTACAGAGGTATGTAATACTCTGCCGTGCTTTTACTATAAAGATCTGGTAATGACGGAAGATCGGTCATGTGAAGCCTACGAAGCTAGTCACGTACTCTACTGCTACTGTTCTACCCAATTGACGACTAGTATCAAGAAACACGGCTTCGTTAATGGTGCTAAAAATCTATGGGATGTTCTGCCATGTCGTGGATTTACCAAGGATTATCTGGTCAAGAACGCCTTCACTCTTCTGGCTGCTGGTATCGTGGTAATTGTCAATTTCTTACTGAATAATATCTTACGGATGTTCGCAGTATTCGAACGACACACCAGTGAATCTACCAAGACAATCCGAGTGGCAATTCGGATGTTTGGAGCCCAGTTCCTGAACACTGCGCTGATCGTAATTATCGTAAATGCCTCGTTTGGATTAAGTTCTGTAACAGTTGCGAAGGAGCTTTTGGGAGGCAAATACAAGGACTTTGAGCGTGGCTGGTATCCAACTGTAGGCATGGGAATCGCTACCACAATGCTACTTAACGCCTTCCTACCTCAGTTCACACTGTTTATGCAGATGTGCATTGTATCTCCTATTCGCCGGTGGTACAAACGTCGCTCTATTCGTACACAAGCAAAGATGGATAAGCTGTACGCAGGCCCAACGTTCGATATCTCGCTACGATACCCGATGGTTCTGAACTCAGTGTTTGTAACTATGGTGTTTTGTGGTGGCTCGCCTATTTTACTCTTCATTGCCGCAGTATCTGCCTCGGGAATCTATTGGTTCGATAAATTATCGATTTTGTATCTTTACAGTATCAAGACGACGTACGATGAGATTCTAGGTGAAGTTACGCTCCAAGTTCTCCCCTGGACTTTGGCGCTACATTTGGGATTTTCTGCTTGGATGTACGGCAACGCAGAGCTTCTGAAAGGCACAATGTTGGATCTTCCGTGGCTCTTAAAATTCGTTGGATTATCGTCTGTGGTGCATGATCATCCGAACGCTACATCGGAGGAATTGTACGATATTCTGACGGATAAACTCCAGAAGTACGACGTTCTGGGCCCCAATGGATTCTTGGTAAAAATCGTGTACTCACACGTGATGCTGATGACTGTACTGTGCTTTATCGTCACGATCGGACTCTTGTTGTACACCATTTTTGGTACGATCGTGTTCGTCGTACTGGGACAGATGTGGGCGATAGTAAAGCATGCATTATTGCTCCCGATAGAGCAGATTCAGTCTCTATTCTCAAAAGAAAACGCGATTCCTAAAGAAACGAAGGATCTTTCGGAAAAAGATATATTACCAGTAATTTTACTACCAGAATTTACTGAACCGTTCCTGATGTCTGTAACAAGAAAATATCGACCGGATGAAGGGCTTGGTTACCAGAGGAGTAAAGTGGAAAATACATACGAACTCACGTGTGTGTGGCCGGAGGATACAGTTCATGAGAACGGAGTGGAGCGACTGACTGGAGAGCGCAAATTAACGTGGGAATCTATGCAAGCCCCCGTCAAGTCGTATGCTATCGAAGCGAACGAGAAGTACAGACACAGCGTTAATATGGTGTTAGATGCCTGGCAAATAATCAAGAAGGCACGCAATCTGGAACATGTTCCGGAACTGGTATCCTTAGGGAATGTCATCCCGATGGTGGAGAATGCAGTCACTGCAACGGAGATAACGGCCAAGAACGGTGAAGACGAGGCACCTACTGATGATACCAGGCCGGAAGAGACCGCTGATATCATTGGAGAAGAAGACGAAGAGGAGAAAATCGAGGAATCTGCTGCATCTGAAGGTGAAAATCTAGACCAGTCCGAAGATTGAGGATCAAATCCATGAATAACTTCATAAATTCAGTACATTTTCAATGCATTGCCTAGTAAATTATTTTTTTTTTGCAGATAGGTATTTTCATTCCTAGATTTACTTCATCTAGGGTATGATATACATTCTGTTTTACCTCATGTCGAGGCCTTAACGTTCCAAGCGCATGAGGACAATCCGATCGCGAAGGCTTGGATCGGAGCCAATGGGAACCGGAAATCGAGTGCAAACTTGGACTTGGAAAACTTACCGAACTGCATGACCACGCGATTATTTCCTGTCGGGTCCGGTACTGGACTGGCAAGCGTCCCAGCGGATTCTTCCTCGAGCATGAGCATGAAATTCTTGGCCGAAGCTTCACGGATGCGCCCACCGTGAAATTTTAACATGAGCGAGTTGACTTCCGGGCACCAAACCGGTAATTTACTTCCGATCTTGATCCGGTCGCTTGTCGGCGTGTCGAAGGTGAAAATGTGCTGGCGTTTATTACGTGGAGACGGCGACGTCAGGAGACGAGCTCTCGGTGTACCCCTAGGCGTACCCCCCGACGACGTCACGGCTCGACTGACTCGAGGACACCACACAACGCGAGACCGTTTATCTTCCATAATCGCCGGGATAATCACCGAAAAGCAGCGCATCTCGGAGCCCACAACCCCCGCAGCTTTAGTGAAGTGCGAGATATCGGCAAGAAGTTGACGATCGGCACCTTCGACGGCTGCAGCGGTGGCGTCTTCGTGGGTGTTACTGCACGTGAAGGTGTTGAAACTCTGGTCGCAACCTTCGCACCCGCAACTGTAGAGTTTAAAGTTGTTATCAGTGGCCTTACGTAGCACCGCACAGTAGTGTCCAGTGGGTTCTTCAGCGTCTTCCGTATCGGGGAAGTTCTCATACTGCGATATGTAAAAGGTGCCGCCGATCTGCTTGGCGCTGAGCAAGAATTGGTCGTTGTTCCAGTACATTTTGTACTGATTCTTGTTAGTACGTTCTACGGTAGAGTACGTCCACGCCTTGGCTTGAGTAGGGCTTAGACACTCTTCAGCGAGGTATTCCCGAGCGTGGCCGCTTTCCAACATGTCCATGTCTTGGAAAGGTTCCTTGCGGATGGTATTGCCCCATGTCGGACTCGTGACTTCGGATGTGGGGGTCCCGTCTTTCTTGCCGTCTTCAGTCACTCCGTTCAAGTGGGCGGACAGGATTTTTGACGCTCGTTCGAGGAGTCCAGCAGGTGCCACGTTGGTCTTGGCGTGGGTCTTTGCTTGACGAGGCAAGTCCGTGTCGATGAACAGACCTGAGCGCATGGTGTCTGCCATGGTTGAGCTTGGCTTGATGGAGTGTAGGCAAGTCCGCTTATGACTGGCTGAGACGCTCTTGGATGGCTGTAAAGCTTTTTTTAAACGATACACTTGAGTGTCGGATCGAAAATTATCGATAGCTCAACGAGGACGTGGGAGCTCATCTCGCTCCGACCAGAAGCAGGAAATCGGCTTTGATCCGGAGTATTTTTAATGGTCCCAAGAATAGGAGAATCGAGGAAGGAGTTGGTTCTTATCCAACAGACCCGAAATAATTCTTCAGCACGAGAACAATCAGAACAACATGTCGTAGATTCGGTAGAGCCATCATCACGATGACCTGAACGGTTGTATCCATATTGACGATCCACAATCGGGTGCCTGAAGTTGAAGCAAAAGTCAAGCACAAGAACAACAATTGACGCCGCTGCACATTAACACCTTATCCCCAAAATTCGTCTTAATTAATTGACCTGCATATATCGGGTTTAACTGTAGCGCTTCCAAGTATATCATGATTAGAAACACGGTGATTATGAATTCTTGGTGTTTACGGGTTGTGCTCAATGCAACTCAAATCTTGACCTCCATCTTCTGCTGTTCGGGCGGAGGATTCATCCTTCCGCAGCAAGATGCTTCAGTGCATTTGAGCAGCATTTGCTGATTCTCATTCTCGCTTTTGCTTCGACCTAACCAAGACATTTACAACTATGGTTAGAGCTGTCATCGTATCTGGGCTGCTTCTGGCCTGTCACTCTTTGGAAGTAACAGCAGACCAATTCGTTGATATCCCCCCGCGAGTGACCATTGGAGGCGCGCCGACAGGAGTAGTCTGGGAAGGATGGGGGACGTCGCTCGCTTGGTGGACCAACGTTTATGGAGACACTGAATATGTCAATGAAGAACTGGCCGAAATGTTCTTTACCATGAACGACTCTTCATTTGCACGCAACACCGCAGGATTTCTCAAGCTTCCAGCTCTGGGATTCAACATCGCACGGTACAACATCGGAGGATCAGGCAGCAACGTCATTGACGATAGTGGCACGGAAATCGCCATGAAAACGTCCAAAGAAATGCTCGGTTACAAGACGATGGAGAGTTTCTGGCTGGACTGGTTCAATACTGATCCAAAGACAAAATCATGGAACTGGAATGCCGACGCTAAACAGCGCAAAATGCTGTCACTCGCAGTCGGACTGGGCGTGAATATCCTTGAAGCGTACTCAAGCTCCCCGCCTTGGTGGATGACAAAGAACCGCGCCACCGCTGGCGGCGATAAGGGAGATGTTGACAACTTGATGGCGTCGAACATCGACCAGTTCGCTCTGTACTTGGCGACGGTAGTGAGTGAGGCAAAGACTCGTTGGGGTGTCAACTTCAATTACGTTGAACCGTTCAACGAACCGAGTAACAAATGGGACTTCCCTGGTACACAGGAAGGCTGTCACTTTGATGTGGCAACACAGAATGAGGTGGTAAAGCGTCTGCGTTCTCACCTCGACAAGCTCAAGCTACAGTCGGTGAATGTGTCAGTATCTGACGAGAACTCTCCAACCCAAGCTTTGACAACACTAACGGGCATGACGAAGACTGCAACTGGATTGGGGGCCGTCGGGAAAGTGAACACGCACGGTAATGACGGCCCTGCTGCGTATCGTGGCCCAGACCGTGCTGCGTTGAAGAAATTGGCCAGCGATTCGAGCTTGAAACTGTGGGACTCGAACTACATTGATGGTGACGGTTCTGGTCTTACACTAGCTCAATCGATCGCGCTGGATATCAACGAGTTGGGTGTGTCAGCTTTCGTGTACGACCAAGTGTTGAACAGCGGAGGTTTGGGACTTATCCAGTCGAATCTGTGGGTGAACTGGACTGGTGAGGAGAATCCGAAATATTACGTGATGGCGCATTATTCTCGTCACATTCGTCCTGGGATGGAAATGATTGGTACGGACGATGTTAACACAGTTGCTGCGTACGATTCGACCAACTTTATATTGGCGATTGTGAGGGTGAATTTTGGCGCTGAAGAGACGAAGCAGATGAACCTTGATGACTTCGTAGCGGCGCTACCTACCAGTGTGGATAAACTTCCAACTAGAATCGACAGCTGGATGACGCAAACGAACAGCACGGACTCGTTCTACGTGGACTCTGGTATCCAAAGCCCCAGTACAGTATTCGACGTAGTGTTCCCACCAGAGTCTATCGCGACATTCGAAGTGCATTGGGCTTTGGAATAAAAACACCCGCTTTACGTAAGGTAGTCGACAGGTGCACAAATGTATGAGGTCTTTCTAGTTTCACCCGCGATCAAACCATCGAGAGCAGTAGAAAAGTGCAGCACTAACTATAGGATCCGTGACTAGTCAAAAACAGTAAAAGCACTCTTGTCTTGAGTGCAAACACCTCTAGACAAGAGTTCTTTTACAGCTATTTGGTTTTTAGGCAGTTTTAACTCATCCGCCATGACACCAAAAATCTGCAGCGGCCTAAATCCATTGTCAACCAAGTAAATCTTTCCTTAGCACATCAACCTTAAAGACCATAACACTCAGTCCCTATGCACCCACATTACTATCTTTTAACTCGCAATGCCTGTAACGACCCGCAGGGTCAAACGGGGACCTCAAGTAAGAATACATCGTATGGCTATGAATTGAGATCAATTCTAGATCACCAGCAGCGAGCATACCGAGATCTCGGTTGGAAAACCTGCTAGACTATTTTTTTTTTTTTTTTTTACTTCCAAATGAATGTCAAGATGGGAAACGTATTTTGAGTGAGAAGCACTTGCCTTGTCAATCCTTACCAGAAATATCATTTTCAACATCCTATTGGGATCTTCCATTCATGCATATCAAATAAGGGCTAAGCCTGACCAGCTCAGCTTGCGTTTCCTTTGCGATGATGTATAATAAATTCTACGTTAATAAAGACCGGATCCATTAAAAAAATTGCTCACCGTACAAAATCAGCCAAAGTGGCGGGTTCTTACAGGCATTACGAGTTAATTTACAAAACTGTTTGTGCTACTCGTATGTGTTTCCACGACGTTTACATGTTAGTAATTTGTGACAATCATATGGTATCTGATCGCTATACTAGTAATATATAAACACGAAGCGTCTTCGTGTTTCTTCTTCAAATTTGGCTTCACGGCTAATTTTGATTCAGAACCTGCATGCGTACTGCAGACGTTTCAGGGTGCCGCTCGGAAATGTCTAAACCAATTCTAACGTCGTGATTTTGCTGGAAAGATGTCTTCAACGCTGACGGCATATCGCTACTTAAACACGAGTAGCTAGAAGTTTTCTGTCGGCGCTCGTTTCCTTTCGAGAAATGTAAGTTAATCGGTTGAAAAATGACTTCTGTATGTTTTTAATCGCAGGCCATTCACTTTAATATGAATATCTCATAACCGTTTGCTTTTTAATGTGCATTGGACAGATATTTTGGCATCAAATTGGCAATATGTCTGCACTTGGCGCACTCACTACCCATCTAACAATTTGTCACTTTTAACGAGGAGAATACGAGGGGAATAGGGGTCAATTTCCCTCAATTAATGAGGTCTGACGAAGACTCTGGATTTTGTCAGCGGATACAGCACGGGACCAGACTATCAATCCCAGAGCAACAATATCGTGTTGTTCACTTGTGTCATTCTTACAACTTTTCTCCACAGTTCAGCTCTTCGCACGAAAGGGGATCATTCTGTAATAATGCGTTTTTTTGGCCAGCACCGTATGAGGCAAAGAATATAGCTTACGTGTGTCGAGTGGGTAAGGCTTGACACAGTTTGAGAGCTATTGCACCCACGCCAATGAATTGAAGAATTTGGCGAGCGATACAAGCTTTAAAAACTACATCGATCAGGTCTTGCTTAATCGAATTATAGGGTGTCATGGAGTTACGTGTTCTGCTTGCCTGTATCATTTGTGAAGAATTAGAAAGTGAGGTTCGTGTCTTTGCAAAGTAACATAACAAAGAACCAGTAGACAGAAGCAACGGGCATACAGTCATCAACTCACAACAGTCTCCGCGAAAGGGAACCATTTATTCTGAGCGAAATTAAAAATAAGAGCGTAAAAACGTAATTAGCTATCTCTCTGCTATGGCAACGAATACTAATTGTTTCTGACACAAAATCCGTCACAATACTGATGCACTACAACGTCATGCAAAGCCTAGCGGTACTGGACTATTCGGGGCCAAGACACAGTCTATGGAGATTGCAGAACGACCTGCACAATTTTTACTGTGGCTACTATCGTGGCAGTGCTTTGAAAAAATAAATATAATACAATTATTATAGCATTGTATTTATTTAATAATTTATTATTGGCTTTCATAAAAGTCCGTAAAATATAAAATTGTCCCCGTAATTACTGTATTGATTTCTTACCAGTTGACTGGTGTGAAGGTGCCTCGACGTTGGTGGATCTGGGGGTTAGACTCTTTATTTTGTGTTCGTCCAAATTTAGTTCTATGTTTTCTTTCAGAACCCAACAAAACTGCTGCTCAGGCTGGCACGTATCTTGCCCTCGCCGGCTATATTTGGTTGGCTAAAAGAACCCAGCTTGGATGATACCAGCAGTCACCAGCCCCTGCAGCAGTGGGCTTCGAACCCAAGCCAGTGGCGTGATAGGGTCAATCTCACACCACTGACCCTTGCAATACAGCAAAACAATATAGCAAAATAATTGAATAATTTATTATTGTGGATCGGTATATTGCAATGATTATTATGTGCTTCTGTGAAGCCCAGTACAATTTTTTTATTTTATTGTAAGAGCACTGTATCGTTGATAATAAGATGCTACAACTCGAGACAACGATGGGCCAACGTTACTTGCGCTCTTAGAAGAGATCGGTAATATAAGACGTATTGTAGTAACTTCTGTTCCTGCACTTTGGACCTCAATACTACTAAGGAGATGCTGGGCAGGAATCATACTTCTCGAGCAACTCCGGGAACAATTGGCAATCCTTGTTGTATTTCGAATAGACGCGCTGCCCATTCACGACCTTCCCCATCTTGTTTAGCACATGGGCCATCGGGTTTCCTTTCATGACGTGGCACGCAATCTCGGCATTCATTTTATTGAGGGCATGAGTTTGCATCACGATTTCAAATCACCTTTCTCTCCTCTTTGCTATCTAGTTCCTCTTGGCTCCTCGCAGCCCCGGCGAAGAGGACATCGGAAAGCTTGTTCTCGGTGTGGCTTACGCTCGTATCCACAGAAATGACGCGGGCGAAGGAAATAGTCACGGCAGCTTTGAAGGTGCCTGCGTGCGCATGATTAATCGATGCTGCTTGATCTCAAAAGTGAAGAATGATGAAGCTTGAGCGTTGCAGGAGAAATTGCGAAATGGATTATGGCGGAGTTGGGTCTTAAATGAGGCAGATCACTCTGTACTTACTATTTACACGTTAGTTCCATATTTTTGTCTACTGTCAGAGTTCTCTATACAGAGCCAGTTTTCGTAGGTACCATAACATACACCATTTTACTCCGGCCTTAGCCTCAAGATACATCTTCAAGATTGGATTCTTCGTCAGGATGACAGGAATGAGGAGGATGAACCCTCCATGCCCATTCATTAGAGGATCTCAAGCTCCATTTGTGAGTGCATGTTTTTTACACGGGGACGCTCCATAAACGATCAAATCTTTGTGCTCGATTAGCATCACACTTCATAAGCGCACACTTTTCTTTTGTTCGCTAGCGTCACGCTTCACAAGTGCACAATTTTTGCTGCATCAGAGCGATTCCCGCAGCAAGTTTAGAATCCAAGTTTTTTTTTCCTCCACTTCAAAGAGTAACACTGGAAGAGGGTCTGC